GCCTTCTTGGCCCCCTGGGCACAGCCTGGCTCATGTTCAGCTGCTGTCACCAGCACCCCCAGCTCCTTTCCAGCCACTCTGCCCCAGCCTGTGGCACTGCCTGGGGTTGTTGTGACCCAAGGGCAGGACCTGGCACTTGTCCTTGTTGAACCTCACACCATTGGCCTCAGCCATGATCCAGCCTGCCCAGATCCCTCTGCAGGGACTTCCTGCCTTCCAGCAGATCAACACTCTCACCCAGTGAGTGGTGTCACCTGCAAACTGACTGAGGGTGCACTTGATGCTCTCATTCAGTTCATCAGCAAAGACATTAAACAGGACTGTCCCCAGTACAGAGCCCAGCAGAGCCCCACTGGTGGCTGGCCACCAACTGGATTTATCTGCATTCACCACTCTCTGGGCCTGGCCATCCATTGAGTTTTTAACCAAATGAAAATGGCATCTGTCCAAGACATGAGTAGGCTGTTTCTCCAGGAAAATGCTGTGAAAACATTTTTGGAAGCTTAACAAATGTCCAGGCAGACATTATTCATAGCCTCTTCCTCATAAACTGAGTTGGTCAGTCTGTCATAGAGGGAGACCATGCTAGCCAAGCAGGACTTGCCTTTCATAAACTCATCTGGCTGGGCCTGATCCCCTGGGTGTGCTGCATGTGTCATTTGATGGCACTTGAGATGACCTCTCCCCCAGCCTTGCTGCAGTACCAGGGTCAGAATGACAGGCCTGCAGTTCTCCTGATTCTCCTTCCTGTCCTTCTTGTGGGTGGGTCACATTTGCCAACCTCTGGTCAACTGAAGCTCCCCAGTGAACCAGAACTGCTGATAAATGATGGGAAGAGGCTCAGTGAGAACTTCCATCAGCTCCCTCAGTACCCATGAGAGGATCTCATCTGGCCCCAAAGATCTCTGTGTGTCTAGGTGGTGTAGGAGATCACTGACTGTGTAGTCTTGGATTATGGAACTTCATTTGCTCCCTGTCCCTGACTTCCAGCTTAGAGGGCCTAGTACTCAAAACCCAGTTGGTTTTACTATGGAAAAGTGAGGTAAAGTAGACATTTTCTCTGTGTTTTCTTCATCCTTTTTCACTGTTTCCCCCATGTCCAATAAACAGGGATTCAATTAAAAGGAATTTTTCCAAAATTCCTTTTAAAGCAACAAAGGGGAAGGATTGGTACTTTGTTCTTTTATACTCTCCCTTTTAACAATGTGGGATAAGTATTATTAAGCTTGTATTTGTAGTGACAGGAATAAAAAACATTCAGTATTAAACTATCTATTTAAATAGTCAGAAAAAGTTCAGGACCAATTTTCACATTCACTTATAGCTCATATATAGTTTTAAGAATGAAGTCAGCCCCTTCCCCTGTGTGGGTTTGAAAATACTTTCATCTTCATGCCTACCTTTCTAGTGTTTTCTGTCGGAAATCCTAGATTAACTTTGTTACTTGGTAATGTTACTTGGTAATGAGCATTTCATACAGGGAACTGCCAACCCAAGTAGTTGAAGGAAAAGATAAAACTTCTGTTTTGCAGTTTTGCAACACTTCTGGAGAGCTCTACTGAAGCAGCATAACTCGAAGTGAATTCAACAATCTCTCTGTCTGGATATAAAAAGTAGGGTCTAACTCAATTACAGCTAAAATAACCTATGCATTGGATGTATCAGGTATGCAAACTTTAATCTGTGAAGGTTTGATTTAATTTCTCTTCAGATGTATGGATAGTATGGTGACAGATCTGGTTGAGCTTAGAAATCCTTAATGAGTGTAATGCATTTGTGCACTGTTTGCATTTGTATTTCTATATCTCAGAATAAAAATTCCATCATGAAAGAATCACACTTTCTTTTATTATGAAGGATTATTAATTTTTCTTAAAGATCTTATCTGGTTACAGTAAATTGTTCTGGGTCTCAGAAAGAATTTCACATTTTTATCTGAAAAGTCTTTTCTGGCAAAATGTTGAAGAAGCATTAGTGGCAAGAGTTGACTATCTTGTAGAGGCTCTGGTTTGAGAAATTTTGAGATATAAGCAACTGCAATGCATTCACTGATGATATGTAAAGTATTGTGATGCACCTGGTCTTTAATTCTTTCATAACCTCAGCAAAATTGAAAATTTTGTTGGGAGCTATGCATTGAATGTGATTAAGAGCCAAGAAATATTATTGTTCTATTCCGTGTGGACTTCCAAATGTCTTTAAAATAACATCGATGATATTATGACATCCAGACTTATAATACAAATAATAAAGATTATACCTACTATTTCCTAGGTAAATATTCATAGTTTTCAGGTGAAAAGGTACCACTCTCCAAGTAATTTCATTGACCAACAGGATTTCGTTCTCCTTTAATTCATATTATCAAGGTTATTGGTTGGTGATGATTTTTGAATACTTTTGATGGTTTCCAAGTTCAGCTCTATTTCCTCAGGCATATTCTGAATCTTCTTTGAAGAAGGAACAGGAGGCTATGAGAAGGAGAATCTTTTCCCAGGCTATGAGTCACACTAAGATCATTGTCTTCTTTCATTCAAGGTCAGAAATCAGTGTAACTTTTGGTAAGATAGATGGTTTTATAAAGATTTGACTGTATAAAAGAATAAATTTTTTGCTGTTCAAATCTCTCTGCTGCTGATTATCATAATTAAAAATGCAATTCAACTATCCAGAATTATTTGCTTATTGGTTTCCTTAAAATACCTTTCCAAAATCTTATGAAAAATTAAAATCTCAGTTAAATTTTAAAATGCACTTGTCTTGGTTTACAATGCTTTATACTATATTAAGCTCTTATAAAAATGTTCAATTCATTCATGTTGTGAACCAGAGCCTACACTTAGTATTTCTCTTTGAAGTTATTCATTAAAGACTGGAATCTTAGATAACTACATTATTTTCAGTAGGCCTTATTAGCTTTAGGTGATGTTACTGACTGATGATGATATAAAAACTTACCTGTGTTGCCAGCACATCTGTGATGTATACTAGGAAGACAGATTTATCATATTCTTACAACCTATGAGGTGTAAAAGAAATGCTCAAAAGTATCACTATACAAGGACATTACATAATTTATAAGTTTGCGAAGTAGTGACAAGAAGAACCAGACAAAAGGGACAAATTTCAGTTTCTTGGTGTACAGCTGCATCCAAGATTTTTCAGAAGATAGGTGAGAGTTTTTTCCATGTACACTGTCAATGAAATGCATATTGGAAAGAAGACAATTGTACTATCTGATTCTGATCTAATAACTCATGTGGACAAAGGGAAAGGTTTTGCAGCTGACTTCACTGCATTTTTGTTGCAGAAGTTGCAGTCTGATCAGATTAGGGTTTTATTATATAAATAGTTGGAATTACAAATATTTTCAAAAGTTTTCTCTTGGTCAGCTCCATAGATGTTTCCATAAGCATTGCATAATATGTTACTAAGAAAACTGAAAAAATTAGAACATTTAGAAAATATTTAAAACATGATAGTGAATATTTCTTCTGAGTTTAAGTAACAGTTAACAGTATAATGATCAACTAGTGAAAGATAGAGTAAGCTTTAAGAAAACTGCAACCACATGAAAACTTTCTAAGAAAAAAGTTTGGACAGCATAATTTACTGACTAAATAAAAGCTGAACAGAGAAGTCTGTACTGAGTAGAGAAAGATAGTCTACTGGATTTCAGGAATACAAATTAAACATTATGACTATGTTTTTTTCAAATGAATAGGTAAGAAGCATTAATTAAACTGTTTAAAAATAAATTAGAAACACATGCAGACATGGTGTCTCTCCCTGGAGGGAGGTAGATGGAATAAAAAGTGTCTGCCACCTTGAATTTGCCAACAAATCCATACAATAGGCAGAAATAAGCTCCACATTTTATTTTACTGCTCAGTGATTTAATGTTTTATAATTCAATTCTTTGTCTTTTGCTGGACTTCTTCTTCAATAACAAGGATGCTGTATTCCACAGTGCCTCTTTTTTCCAGCTAAAATACATATTAAAAAAGAAGCATCAGATTAGCTTCAAAGATTAGGCATGCAAGAAACATAATGACATCAAAAACTGAAATATATCGAAACACAATGAGTTAATAGAATGGCTACTTTCTGCCTTCAAGCAGAGCTGTAAAAAGTGAAACAAATCTGTGTGCAGTTCCTGTGCAAATCATAATCAATATCTTTAATTTTTAAAGTGTACTTAGGTTTTTGGGGTGATCATTTGTTGTTGACATTTTGTCTGTTTTAGCATGAGTAAATAAAAGGACAGGTTCTTGATGAGGTGCTTCCTCCTGGCTATGGAAACAATTTTGCTGTACTAAGTTGCTAGAAAATTTACTAGGTGCAAGAATAATGAAACCATCGTGATGCACACCTAAAGCACCAAGTTAGATTTGCTTATATCTTTGGCTGTCAGTAGACTTGAAGTTTAATCTAATTCTTATTCTGAGGTGATTATTGGTATCCCAAAGTATTATGATAAAACAATGTATTTAATTTATTGAAAAGATAAGTTAAAAAAACCAAACCAAATACCAGCAATAGCATAGTATAATAGTGTGTTTCTCCTCCCTTAGGAGGCAGAAAATTTATATTAACCAACATGGAAGCTGAGTTTAAGTCTTCATGTAAACGGAAGGGGAAAGCACATAAAATTTTTTCTTTTAGGACAGAAGGTGAATTAACCATGACTTCAAGTCCCAAGTATTTATGGAGATGAGTGGAAGGACACACAGTTCAGAGGATTTTTCTGAATATTTTGTTTTGTTTTATTCATGGAATTTAAATCAAGTATTTTCCACTGCAGCTGTGTGAATCTCACTAGTATTTATATTGACCTTTTAATTGTTATAAAATCATGTATTTTGGTACCATTATCATTAACTTGCAAGCAATAACCTTTTACATGTTTAAAGTGGATGCAGTTCTTGTTATAATAGACCACTTTCAATGCTGTTCATTTGGTATGCTGTGTTTTTAACACAAATGTAATCCACTCTGCATTTTCCATTTAAAATGCATAAGGCAAAGTGCATCATAACAGGATGTAACTACGTATTAATCAAATTAGCACAACACTTCAAAGGCCCTGGCTTTTTACTAGGCTACTGTTAGACCACAATTCATGATGGAAAGCAACAGTATAATGAAAGGCTTGGCAAGGGAGCTGTTTATTTTCTTTCCAGAAAGATATATTGTGGGTTAATTTTCATGATGGGAAAAAATGTGGAGGAAAAGTAACAGTAAGCATTAAGCTAAAGCACAATAAATGGAATTTAAAATACTACTGTGGGTTTGCTATTGACAAGCATAAATGTAGTAATTAGTTGATGACACAACAGAGCTCAAACGACCTATTGTTTAATTATTCAAACTTCATGATCCAAACAAAGAAATGTCAGATTATTCAATATTCACGTTGTGAAACAGGAACAGCTGGGAGGGTTCTTCCCTCATCATACATTTAACTTACTACGTAAATATAAAGCCCTTCAGATAATTCTTTTTAACTACTGTTTCTCAACAATTTCAAGTAGATACTACCTATTTTTGGTTTAGGATCATTTTAAATTTTGTTTCAGAATATGAAATAAGATGCTGTGTCATACTGACTCCTGCATGGAATAGTCATAATTTAGGAAACCCAGTGTAAAATACTTACAGTGTACTGCAGAAAAGCACACAGCAATTTCAAAGAAACAGTGTCTACATAGCTCTCTTTGCAATGTAATGTAATGGCTGATTATGAAATGTAAAATGGTTCTCCTGCTTGAATGTATATTCTAACATCATTAGAGTTCCAGATAAAATTAAAATTATTTATGCTAAATTTTGGAATGAGTTTTAAATTTCTTCATATGTATTTGTCCCATTAACCCATTTCCATTTTCTTCATTTATGTTTTTGGGCCGCAGGGTAGTTTGAAATTCAGTCATCCACTCTTTTGTTACTCATTTATTTATGCAAAATTTTATGCACGCAAGCTATTAATGTTGTTTTCTAATTCAGTATGTAGTCATTACACCCACTGCTATTTTCTATTTATTCCCAGTAGATAAAGAAAATAATACTCCATCCTCTCATTTATGTTTTTTACAACATATAAGAAGTCTTTATGCCCATATCTCTGTTTTCGTTATTGAAGTGCATTAATAATAACAAAGTCTGTATGAGCACCTTTTTGGAGATGCTGAAAATGACTGAAATTTGTCCTATGGAAACCTGCTTTGACATACTTGATTTGACATGCACACAGGCTCTTGCTAGAGAAAATCACTGAGGAAATGTTATTTTAAGTTATGATGGTAATGCTTCCAAAAGGAAGATTGAGGCTGACAGGATAAGTCTTTAGGAACCTTTCAATTACAAAAGAATGCAGTCAGTGCAAATTCAGAAACTGTTCAGAGATTAAAAGTATTAAAAAGGGAATCTACCTCTAAGAGTGCATACATTCCTTTTATGTGACATCTATACAGGAGACACAGTACCTATATGAGAATTTTTAAAATGATAACAGAAAGTTGTATTAGTTATCCTTCTATAGTGAATCTGAGTATTAGGTAACACAGATTTCAAATTATATTGGAATCATCTTTTTCTTAATAGCCAATTTAAGTTATTTTTTGAAGAGGAAACTTAGTATTTAAATATATCTTCTGCAATTTGCTAAACAAAAAGTAAAAACCTACTGAACTGGAACACTAAATCAACTACATTAGTAGTCCTTAATGTTTCATGGTTTAATGTGATATTTTTAGTGCTTATAATTTTGGGATATTTTGGTCAGCTTATTTTTCTTTTCTGCTTGGGAGAAGATAGATTACTGACAAAAATACTACACACATTGACAAAGATAATTGCAGTCACATAAAAAGTAGCTGTTGTTATTGACTGTAAAAGGAGAACTGTGCACACACACACACATGCAAATATTTCCTCTGACTATAAAAATGCCAACAATTCAAATCACTCCACGAGACTTCGTTGTACCTGAAGAGCCGCTGTCCAGAAATTTGATACACACTTATTGGAGTATTTACATTTAGTTCTGACTCTGGGATGTATTGTATAAGAAATACTTTCATCTGAAAATTTCCAGCTAACTTTTAGTTTCAGTTTTAGCTTAACCCTACTGGTTAAGTTACTTTTTTGTGTCATGTCCCCCCACAATGGCTTCACAGAAACTGCCTATGTATTGTCTAACAGTGTCGTGTTTTCATTGTGAATGGCCAGGATCAACTATGAGGATAAATTTTTATCTTAATCATGAAAAACTCTCACAGAGATGGCTGGATAGAAATGCTCACTTAAAGAAAGAGAAATTTTAGATGAGAGGACCTATAATGTGATTTAGCTATCTCTTTGCACCATTCTCTGTAGTAAAGTATTCCCACGTTCCCTCTAGATGAGATTTAGACCACAAATCACATCTCTAAAGAGTCTTTTTCATACCTGACAGACCTTGAAACATGAAAATATATCTTTTTTCTCAGTTTTCTTTTTCTTTTACTTCTAGGTTGAATTTTAGAATAACATAAAATTGATATTTCTTATCAAAATAGGAAGAGGATAATTTTTTTTCTGTTGCAAACTGTGAATATTATTTAAACACATAAGATTAAGCTGTCATAACTTGCAGGACATCTTGATGTGTTCAGTATAACAATCCTACAAGAAAGAAAAAGTAATTCTGAATATTTGGCTTCTTTCTAAAACATTTCTTTACTAGAAGTCCAGTGAAATTTTAGGTAAATAAAGTGTTTATGGGAAAATAAATGCAGTACTTTGTAATTTCTGCCATAGAGAAATTCAGCACTGGTTTCTGAAATGGGAACAGAGGAATCAAATGTCTGTACGTCTCTCAAGGAGAAGGGGACTATCCAGTCACTGCTTCACAAAAGGTAAAAGACATGTTTGTATGGAGAACACATGCATTAAAATTTATCTAGGAAATCAGCTTGCCTGAGTTGGGTTTTTAGAGCACTGAATTTCCTCCTACACCAACACCACAAGGACTGAGAACATCAAATCAGGGAACTGGTCTATACATGAGGGTGCAGAACAATTTCAGCAGTGCTTGCTGTTCTGGTAGGAAAGAATACTGTTTTTAAAACTGTTTGTCTCTCATATCACTATTTAGGCAGTATAGATCAGAAAACTGAAGGTACAGCACCTCAGGGAGAATAATATCACTTTAGCAGAAGGTAGAAACATTTAAAAATCAATTTAAAAGGAGGGGAACAGTGCTGGTAGTGAACAGAGTGCTTTTTATAGGAAAGACCACCCGGTGGTGAGAAAAACACTATTGTATTTTATTTATATAATTTTCCTTCAGAAATATATCTAGAAGATCTCTTCCAAAACCAAGAAGTAGAATATGTGGTGAGAATTCAGATATCTCTTCAAGAAAAGCTCTCATCCAGGAAAAGTGTTTTTTAGATTCTTCAATTGAAATTTTTAAACTTTTGAAATTCTTACTGAATCATGACAATTTTCTCATCATATTTATTTTCATTTCCCTCTTGGTTAATTTAATTCCTCTCTGAAATTATAGTCTTGGGTAAAATTCTTCTGCCTTTATTTATATATAAAATTAAAGCATCCTATGTTTCAAAGATATTTATTTTTCATTTCATCGTAGGATAAAAGCAAATAATCTCACCCCATCTCACAGGAAATTTTCCAAACACATACATCTAGCTTGCGTTACATGTTAGGTTTATATATTTGGTTTATTTATTACATTTATTGTTCTTTTTTAAAATAGCTCAAAAATTTAAATTATTAAATTAATAAAAGAGGAGCCCTCAGGACTTTAAAAAAATCTTTACTTAGGGTATACCACATGTATGCAGGAAATTGCACTATTTAGTTTTACACTACAAACCACTCAATTTCAAGTATTAGAGATAGAGTTAAGAATAAATAAACGAATTTAAAATAAAATTCCTCATGCCACTGAAGTTTTATTACCCTAGGCTTGGAATTATCTCAGATGCCGAACAGCTACCCTTCAAATATTCATACAATTTGCCATGTAGAAGCAGCATACTTGCCCAATACTTCTTCAATCTTTCGGCTTGTAGACCTCCATAAAATCAAGCCAAATCTAATGGTTATGTTCCTAAATAAACAAAGAGTTGACATCCAACTACTTTTTTAGTACATACTATTTTTAAGAATATCTGCTCAAGATATAAACTGAGAAGGATAAAGCCAAGATTCATTTCCAAACATTAACTCACATTTCTGTGTCAACTTTTCAACACTTTAATCATGCTAAAACTTTATGAAGCTTAATCTAAACCTGTAACTATATCAAATTCTCTTGCTAGCATATGTGATTTTTACTTCTTCTTTAGCTAATTATTCAGAATGCGAGATTTTTTTGTATGTGCTTGCATAAAAGTGTATTAACGTCTCTTCACCCTAAATATGTCAAAATGGGACTTCTTCTATTAAATTTATAGATTTTACAAGGGAATCATCTGTCCTTTATACATGTCTTCTCAAATCTGTGTATGGTATGGAAGTATGAAGGATATCCATTAAAACGGAGCATACAGTTTTTTAGAGTTTGGTGAATGCAGAGAAAATGCTACTATTATAGCCATTTTGACACTTTGAGGTTCACTGAGCAGCAAATGTTGTTCTCTTCTGTTTTGTGATGGCTGAAAAGAAAATACTGATTTACTTGCTCTGCATGTGAACTTTTAGTCATAAAATGAACAGAAGATAAAATATAGTCAGGCACTGAAACCTTTGTTCAATAAAGTCAAAAAGGCTTTTTAAAAGAATTGTTTTGCTAATATTTTTCAGTAAAACAAAGTATTCTTTCAGTGAAGAAATTTGTCTGTTTAAAACTTTAGTAGGGCTTTTGGCATCAAAGTTTTCTATTTTCAAATGGTATCAAAATGTCTATTTTCACAAATATTTTACTATTTTTAAAATGGTATCAAAGCTATTGCAAATGATGCTAGGACATCCAATAATTACAATGTTTTTCTTTTAGCCCTAGCTGAATCTAATGTTTATCTTTTGATATCTCTCTGTTGTTTTTTTTCTTCCAACGAAGACATGTTGCCATCCATATGTAGAAGCCAGTTGCTGGCCCTGAAGATTTACTAATGTGGATGCTGTTCTCTTCATTGTTCTCCCCTGGGCTGTGATATGACAGGTACCTGAAGTTGGATCCGTCTCATGTCTGGCAGCAAGCTTTGAAAAAATTCCCTGTGCACTTTCCCTGCTTTATTCACACTATATAATGAGATGTTTGCTACTTCTTTCTTGCTTTCAGTCCTGGTAGAGCAGGAGGGTACTGGCAATATAACTAGAAGTCCTGCTTGTGAGATTTCAAACCCAACTCCCAGATCAGAATGCTTAGATAATATCTGGTGTCCATCTAAAATGAAATTAATCTCCTAAAGTTTTGGTTAGTTTTGATTATTGTGAGTACATATGTGCTGTTGTCAGTTAATATCCTACTTAGGTAAAGTTTACTTAATAGAAAAAAGCTCTAATTATATACAGCTGTATACCAGTAACATTTTTGTAGAGAGCTTTTTGCATACAGGAAGATAGAAATTAAATGAACAAGACATGACCTAAGACAATACATAACTCTTTCCTCAGTTCCAAAAATGCATTTATTGATTTTGTTTTCACATGGTCAGAATAATAGAAACATTTGTCAGCTGCATCCTTCAGCACTCAGCCCATGCAGAGCTATTAAAAGTTACCCTTATAGATCCCACCACAAATAAAATGCTGTTGCAGTACATACTATTATGTCCTTTCTTCAGGTATACAAATAAATATAGTCTTCACAGAGTAGTATTAGCTGTGTTAGAATACTTCAGTTGCCATTGGTACCAATAGGCATGATAATACTTTTGGGATGAATTATGTATTAATTGTTTTGTTGAAAAATGGAGATGAACTTTATTTATGGCTGGATTTCTCTAAAAGGGTTACAAGGGTTGCTCTTCTATTGTGCTCACCAGGTTTTCAAATCAATATTTATACATTTTCTGCAATGCTAATGCAACCCTATCCATTTGTTAAAATAAACAATAAAACCTGACCTATTTACAGTGCTCTATATATGTTACACCATCTACTCTATAAACATCACTGTAAAGAATTAACACTCTGGTTTCAGTGGTGTAACTTATCAAATATGCAATCTGAAAATCCAACATCCTGTTGTATGGTGCTATCATGTATGTAGCTCTCTAAAGTGATGTGGAGGACTGTATGAGAATGGGATACAGGACTACACAAGTTAATTGCTCTCCATCAAAATTTGGAAACTTATTGGAAAATTGAAAATCCAGACTTAGGTTCAAGGATCAGGCTACTTTCTCTGCTAATGTCCAGAAAAAGTAGCCCTTTTGAATCCAAATTTATACCTTCTGAAGATATAATTCATGTCTTTGAGAATATATCTCCATTCTAAATTGCTAGATTTCTTAATACTCTTCCCATCACTCCTCAACTTTGACCCTGTAGAATCACTACCTACTGAAAGGAGAGGGGCTTTTAGCCCACATGGCTCATTCATCTTTAAATCTTTTCTTCGATCTTCTTTCCTTTTTAAAACCAGGAGTGCTGACAACTGCACTGAGTGTTAGCTGAGTGAGTAGCCTTAATTTATCTTATTAGAATCTGAGCCCCAACCACCAACCTCATTTCACCTTAGACCCTTTCCCCACATTTATTAAAAATGACTTATGTTCTTCTCAGATAATTTGCATAGAAAAGATATGTCAAGTGCTTAAGTGCAACGGATCCTGAATTCAATAAACCCGTATCAAAATTTTCACTATCTCATAACATTAAACATTAATTTTACATATATAATGAGAAAAGTCCTTATATTATAAATAAGAACTCCAAGTAGCTATATTAAGAAATTTCATTTTGCACAATGTGAGACTATGTAGGTGCATAGTACTGAGATTTACTGATTCTTCTGTCATGTCTTGGTGCAAAATAGGAGAAATTGCACTGACCACAACTAAATCTAGAGCAGATTTTGACTGATATATTTGTAATAATAAACCAAATATTTGAGAATATTTAACAGGACCAGTTACAATTTTAAAAATAGGTGCATAACTGTCTCATAGGCCATGCATTTCATATCTCCTTATTCTTAAACGATATTTAAATTTGTAATTTTACAAAAATTATTTGTTTAATTTTGCACCAGTAGAACCTATACCAATGTATTCCTTTTTGTTTAAGTCAATGTCAATCTCACTTCAACATGTAGTGTTGGTTTCTATTTTCCAGGGATGTTTTTAAAGGAAGGAAAAACTGGCAATTGAAACACGGTCATCAGAATCCAAAAGTAAGTGTTTATGCTCAAAATATGTCTTTGTGATAAGCAAGACTCAGCTTCATCCTACTTCAGTTCCTGCAAGTCATTCTAAGGTAGTTTTGCTTTCTTCTACAGTCATCAGAGAAATAAAATGGATATGCCTGGACAGATATTCCTATTTCATAATGTCAGTGTCAAAGTTACGTGGATAGATTGCTCTTCAGATGCTGGAATCCCCCCACTGACTATGAAAGAGCACAAACAGATATTTTATACTGATTATATCAGCTTAAGATAACTAAAACTAGGTGATGAATCCAGCCCTAAACCACCTGAATATTGAAACTACTTGGGAGTTTTAGGCTCTTACTATTCCAATAGAAGAATTATGCTTGCTGTCACTGATGGAACAATAACCAATAATGCAAGAATGAACTAAAGATGGCTTATGAAATGTACAATATTTCCATTACAATAGTCCAAGTCTGTAAGTGCAGACATGGCTGATGCCATCTATAGAGCAGGTTTAGCTCTAAGGAGAACATGTAGAACTCCCTGAAAGTCCAGAGGAAGCTGGCTGCTTCACCTGAGGAATGTCAAGAAGCAGACCCAGCTCTGCAATAGCACCATCTTTTATGGGCTAAACAAGCAAAGGCAGATTCAAGATAAGAGTCATATTGAAGGAGAAGTCTTGCTTACAGATACTGAACATCACTATTCCTTTGATAAACAAAAGTCACTAATAAGGATTTGATGAAAAGTAAAGAGTTTTTATATGCACATAGGCATTATTTCCCTTATAAATGAAGGCAAAAGTATTTGCTTTTTCTTCTTGAATATTAAATATGTTACATATGTTAAATATGAGGAAAAAACACTATCCTCAGATGTAAGCTTAGTGGCCAATATTTTAGAAGTATGAGGCAAATAAACAAAAAACCCAAGTTTTAATAATCCCTTTAGTTCCCATTGCTCTGGTTTTACCTTTTTCTCTTTTTTCAGCTTTACCTTTTTCTTTTTTATTTTCCAAGATAGCATTCAATCTTCTGGCCAGAGTTAAATTCAAAGATGCATTTAAGATTAATTATTAGGCAAGTAAAGTGCTCAACTTTTTTTGAACTGATTGCTGATAAAAAGCCTTTCAATATCACTTAGTATGCACTCTAAACACTCGATGGGCAGAAGATACAAGTGCTCCCTCACCATAATGAGAAGAGGCTGGCTGTGCTCTGAAGTTGCTGTCCCACAGGCTACAGTTGACAAGATCCCTGTATTATCTGTTCTGCAAGTGGAGCACTCATACTTATCATTGCAGGAGCTATCACTGTTACTTTTCCTCATATCATATTTAAGGAGCTTTCTTAAGCTGTCTGCTTCTTCCTGCAGTTCATGTGGGATGTTAAACATGGATATTTGTACTCACAATTGGCATAGCTGAAATACAGAAAGAGAAATTATTTGTACTGTTTGCCAACAGAATAATTTTGTGATTTGCTGAGCAGTAGCATCATCAGGTTTCATACTCTTATTTATATAACCCTTTATATACCCTTATTTATATTTATAAGTTTATATAACTGTATATAAACTTATATAGTTAGCCACATTTGGAAAAGACCATCATGAAAAAAAAAAAGAAAACCCACCAAAAATATGTACATGAAAAATGGAGGTAAAGAATCACAAGAGTACCCATCAGTCTTTGCACTTCCTGTGATGTGAATTCTCTAGTAATATGAAATGGAATTATGCTGGTTAAGATACATTTAATAATATCATTCTCAGAATAGTTTCAAGAAAAACAGAAAAAGTGTGAATGAAAGAGTAGGGCTGTCTGTGTTATTCAGGACTTTCTATTACATTTATGATCCTTGCTGGTATTTTCTAACCATTTAAATTAACACAGAAATACATATGTGTCTAGGCAAATGTAATTATGTATAAAAAAAAATCTCAAAAGTGAAATATTCTATCTCTTACAGTTGCTCTAAAGACACTTGTAAAACACTTATCTAAAATGCTCTTTAGCCATCTGAAATATGTTTTTTATCAATGGAATTGCTCAAAAATTAGAAAACTGGCAAATCATTCTGTGTAAGTCTAGAGAGTTCATAATTTTCACTTTATTTGATAACTTAGATAAGAATGATGAATGTATGAAGAGTTTATTCATTAATCAGTATTCCAACCTTTTTTGAGGACTGTTGAGCTTCTTATTTTCCTTGTATTTTTCTTCTACCTTCCTCCCTCTATTTTTGAAAAGTGTTTTTTTTTCTTAAATGCGTTTTGTCATGTAGAAAATGGAAAATGTTTGTTTCTTTGCAAGTTAGAAGGGTCAAAATAATGTGAAAACAAAAGCAAAAAAAAAGAATATTAAATTCTTAAAAAAAAAAATAGAAAACCCTCAAAAATTTATAATTGGGCCAAAAGTCTGGTTTTTAAATATCTATTTTTTCTCTTCACGTGGACATGATTTTTAGACATTATTCCACTTTTTAGTAGGAATTTTGTCAAAAATTCGAAATATCAAAATTGATAGCTAAGTGTTAAAAAAAATTAAATTCCCTGGTAAATTATTTTCTATTTGCAGATTGTATCATACTGTTGTTTTCTATTTGCAAATTTTGTCATACTGCTTACACACATGAATGTAAAGCTGACAACAGAAAAGTGGAAACACCTTTGTGTAGATTAACTTGAAATGAACATTGACCATGTCCTAGAGCTCAGAACAGGCAGTTCTAAAGTTTCACCCAGTTTTCCTCTGCAGATGTGAAGTGCAACGCAATCTGCCTTATGTATAGAGGAAAAAGCACACAGAGCCAAGCACAGGTGGGTTTTACAGTTGGGAAAACCATTGGGAAACCAGCACATGGACTCACAAGCTGCCACTCTGCGCGACTTGGGCTGCTTGTGCTGCGCCACCTCTGCCGCGAGTACCCAGCAGGGCCGAGCATGTGGCCACAGCTGCGCCCGGGGCAAGCTCCCCAGGGCTCAACAGGGCATTCTGAGTTGATGTTGCCTTTTGGCAGTGACTGTGCAGCTATCTAAAATCCCACAGCTTTGGAAGGGGAGCACATCATCTGGGATGGCTGGCTGTACCTATTCCCCACCTCCCTCTGCATCCTGCTCTGCAGCACGGAGCCAGCCCTGGCAGTGGTGTGGAGGAGCAGGTGGCAGCTATCTAATGTCTTGCTAGGAAGCCACATGGACACGTTTTTCCCGCATGCAGACACCCGAGGGTCTTCTGCCTTTAGCAGAGGCCCATCTGCTGCTCTTTGCTGCTGCACATGCTGTAGAGGATACTAGTGCTTAAGGAAATGGGCAGTAACACTGTGGCACACATACCTGGGACCAAAGCATCAGCTGACATAAAGCTGTGGGGGCTGCGGTCTTTCTCAAAAATTTCAGTGTCTGTCCCAGGTTCTGAACATGGTTTTAAACTGTGCTAGAATTTAAAGATTTAAAATTACTATTTAATTTATCTTTTGATTATTTTCTTGGGAATGCATTGTATATTCAAGCACTATGCTGTTCTCTCAGAGGCTTCAGTTTTGGACCAAATTCAGATGTAATCTCTGTACTTTTCTCCTTCTGTAGATGACTGAACCAAAACAGACTAACAACACAGAGGAGAAATCTAGCAGGTATGCTTCAAATGCAGTACTATAAATATAGAAAAACTACATTTCAGCTATTACATTATAATAGTATGTTACTTTGATCAGTTTAGGATTAAATAAATCAAGACAAAAAACAACGACCAATATTTAAATTAACCTCTAATATTCTGGGCCATGATCCTACACTTCTGGAGCTTAACACTGATTTTCATGTTAAACTAAATCCAAGCTAGTCTTGGATTGCTTTTCAGAAAACCACCTCTTTGAGAAGCCTTCCTCTCCTTAACCATGTCTATGATCTTCTAAGAACAGATATGTGGGAAGAATCACGCTCTGCCACTTGTAAAAAGACAAAATCTGTGTGCATTGATACATGAATGGGAAAGTACCAAATCCAATACCATTTCAGCAAATATAAATTGCTTCTGTCTGCTTTCCTTTTTTTAATAACACTAAGCTGAGCGGATGATACTCCTCTAGAAGTTCTGAAGGTCACAGACTCACCCTTAATATCATATCTCATGGAGAAGAAAACGTGAAATAGGCAACCATATATTAGATTTCCCATAAGAGGAAAATGTTCAGCTGATATGTTGCTGTGTCTTTAATTACTACTTTTCCATTTCTTTAATCTAGAAATTTATTGCATTTGAGATTTTCTTTTTCTTTCTTTCTTTCTTTCTTTCTTTCTTTCTTTCTTTCTTTCTTTCTTTCTTTCTTTCTTTCTTTCTTTCTTTCTTTCTTTCTTTCTTTCTTTCTTT